GWRKTWTWTTWTTWTTWTWTTTTACACTGAACCCCAGCTCAAAGTGTTTGAAATGTCCCTTTAAAATGAGGTTTATCCTTTAAACCTTTAGTGCAGAATATTTTCTTTCCTTTCTGCTCTGATAAGTTTTTATTCCACAGCTTGGTTTCCCACCTGCTCCTGAGACAAATACAAACCGGTGAAAGTGTCAACCAAATCAAATCACCAGCAATGAGTTCGACAACTTGTCAAAATAAAAGCAAACCTTCAAATCTCCGCTTCGCATTGAATGGGTTTGTCATCATGATTCGTTTTATTTTGAAATTCCAAAGCGGAAATGTGTTTTATTTGGACGCTACAAGCAGGTCGAGCGGTTCGAAGGTGGCTCGGGTTCGTTTTTTCCCTCTGTAGCCCCCCTCCCCCTCTTCCGCCCCCCTCATGAAGGCACGCGGAGTGACAAGTTAGTGAGAGTCAGAGAGGAGGGAGAGAAGAAGAGTGCTGGAGGACCGGCGGAGGAGAGGACGGCTCTATTTTTTTTTCTTGGACTTTTCCTGCGCGGTCCCTGAGAGGAGTCCTGTGGTGGAGGGGGGTTCACACGGCTTCCTCCGGTCCTCACCTGAAGTGTCCCTTACCTTTCCCCTGCCGGGGTGTCTGCTGGGAACCGGAAGGAGCCCACCTGAAGGAGCCCACCTGTCGCACCTGTGGAGGCTCTCCTGGCTGACGCCGTCATGAAGCCCCCAGCTTCCAGGAAACTTACTTTGCTGTCGCTCCTGTGGGGGCTCTCAGGTTGGTGGGACTCATTTCTTTATTCTTCCGGTCCGGTTCTGGTTCTGATGCGCTTCCAAGGTGACTTTGAGTTCAGAGTGATCCGGACCAGTAAAGCCAGCACAGCTGGAGTCTGTGGAGGGTTTGGAGTAAAGTCTTGACAAACAGTATTTCAGCTTGTTTTAACGTCAGTGCTCTGCAAGCTCTGGCTCCCGGGCCACATGTGGCTCTTCGGTCCCTCTGCGGTGGTCCTCAGCTGAAAACCATCCTGTCATCCTCCTTCACTCACAACACTTCAGGAAATGGAGACTTGGCTCATAAATACAACATAAAATTATATATAAAAAACAATAAATAACAACTTAAAAGGATAAAACAGTCATAAAATATTTTAAAAACGTGAGAATATTCCAGCAGGCAGAAACATCCTGTCAGAGGATACAGACGGTCACAGCAGAGGGAATAAATAAAGTTTTGTACCTTTCCTCTTAGAGGGACCACAAACATATAAATAATAAAATATATATGACTGCTGGCCCCATTATTTTACTAAATACCATGTAATATTAATGTAATATAT